GAGGTCCGGTAGAGGTCTGGCTACGGTCGTCGGCCGGGCGGTGGCCCGACAATGGCCGGGCTGAAGTCCGACGACGGTCGTTGGCCGAACGAAGGTCTGACAGCGGTCGGCGGCCGAGCAGTGGTCCGACGATGGTTGGGCTGAAGTCCGAGGGTGGTCGTCGGCCAGGCAGAGGTCCGGCGGCTGTCGGCGGCCGGGCGGTGGTCCGACGAAGGTCGGGCTGAAGTCCGGCGGCAGTCGGCGGCCTGGCGATGGTCTAACGATGGTCAGGCTGAAGTCTGACGGCGGTCGGCGGCCGGGTGGAGGAGGTGCTAGAGCTTTTGAAGCTTCATAACTCTCTCCAATCTCTCGCCAAAAGTCCCCTTCATGTAGAGAGTTGGGGTTTATTTATAGATTTTCATGAGTGGCACACCTCATAAATTTAGAGAAGATCCGAGGCTGGTTTAGAGTGCTCCATCGGATGGCTCGTATTGATTCCCTCGATTGTAAATAGTTTTTCAACTGTTTAAGGGCCTTAATGATTTCGGAATTCAAAGATCTTGGGCTCGTTGGATTCGGCTCGCCTAGCCGCTCGATTTGACTATAAGCATGCTATATTTGGATGTCATTTTATTGTCCAAATAATACTTTCCAAATGTGGATCGGGCCCCTGATTAGTGGGCTTGGGTTGGACCAATTTTGGTCTTGTTTGGTTCGTCTCTTTGAGATATTCTGTTTGACTATAAGTTTGCTGAAATTAGAATTTATATGATCCCAAATTTAATTTTGAAAGTTTCCAACTCGATTATGCCTCGAGATTCATGCTCGATCAAAACAATTTTTGAGGACGTATCAATATTTATTAAAGCATAAAAGAAAATGCATGGAAAAAGTAATATGAATAAATGAAGAGTCATGATTTATTATGCAATAGTAGTATGATGAACCCATCAAATTATTATGTTAGTATAATATTGCATGGCATAAAGAAATGTGCATCACATAGTTAAATATGAATAAAATTACATCCTGAAATTGAAAAGATAAGCACCAACCTATGGTTATACAACGATTTAAAAACAAAAATAGCCCCTTCGTGGACCTATCGACCAAATTAGCTAATGTCTAAAAAGGTAGTACTTACCTACTTCCGCTATAACTAGACATACACATTTTATATAAAGAATAAACAAGTTTTTTTAACATATATTCTATAATCAATATGATTAATACTTGTTTTATAATAAAACATGATTCATTAAAAGAATACTTACTGAGCTCAAATAAAGTGTATGAGAATAAGTCTTGCTATCAAATTATCATCTTAGAGTTAAAAGATTTATGATGGTATGTGTAACATAGAATCAATGACGAAGTTAGAAAATTTTTATACTAGGGGGCACAAATTAGTTTTAAAAATAAATTCTCAACTTTTTCATCTGGACATGGGACTTGCATCGACATTTAAAAAAATGGTTGAATTTAGTATTTAAAAAAGATATAATATTAAATATAAGATGAAAAATATTTACAATTTATATCGTCATACTCTTCATATTATAGAAGAGTTGATACAATCTAATGTTTTCTTCTTAATATAAGCGAGTAAAATATCTTTCATCTACAGATCTTTAATTATATTTCGCAGTTGATTTTTTATAATAACCATTTTATAAAATGCTCTTTTTAACTTTTGTTGTTATAATGGGTAACAATAATGCTAGTTTTAATAGCCTGAAAATAAGTTGATATAAAGTATATTTCCCACCCTTAATAATTTTCTAAGGCTTTCAATATCATTTAACAAAAATAAAAAATAAAAAAATTGCATCAAACCGCATATCCATAGTATAAGTTTCTAATTGATTATCAAGAATCATCAAATCTAAAAGAGTAAAACCACATGGTTATAAGTGTTCCGTTATAATTAACTTGTCTTTGTTGAATGCATAAAATGAATTACATCGATTCAAACAAGAAACACATAAAAGTAATTCAATATTTGCCTCTGTAAAATTATTATTTAATTAACTCTTTAAGTTGCATATTAATGATAAAAAATCATCTCAAATGATGTAAATTTATCATTTCTTGAACTCTATGTTGAGGCCATCCACGAGCTACCCATTAATTTATCATTCATATTTGGAGAAACTATTTTTTGTTTATAACAAAATGAAGTTATTTTATTAATGAAATCTTCTAACTTATTATCTTTCCTATCTTATAGTCTCATGTTAGATATCTGAATTAAAGACGTAACATTTGCAATGTCTCGCTCTTTTCTCTACAAAGCGTATGACAACTCAACAACAATTCCTAGTATATATATCGTTCATTAGGTGGAGGACAAAAAAAAATTCAAAATATTGTAATGTTTCTAATAATACAAATGCATCACCTCTCTATTCAGAGATTATATCATCCTTCAAAATAATTTATAGTATATCGATTATTGAGGAGAACATTATGATCAACCTAGCTAGTGATTGATCATTAGAAATCTATCGTGTTTTGCCAACATGCCTCAAAGATATTTCTTGATTTAAATATTATTCTATAATTGATTCACCATTTTACAATGCACTTATTATCTTTTCTCCGTTGAGTTGATCACAATGCTTACATGAAATACCAACGATACTCATCGCATTTAAAATTATAGTAATAAAAGACATTTTGAATATAAATTTTTGTAATTGCTACTAAAGATAATTAGAGTAGGTGTGAGTAGTAGTAAATATAAAGTGCTAATTTTTTTTTTCATTTAAAAAATAATTTAAGCCCATTAAACTCTCATATCATATTGCTAGCTCCATCATATTCTTCGCTATGAATTTTTGATTTACACAAACCATAAGTTGAGAGGACATGTTCAATTGATGTTTGAAGGTGTCTGGCTAATGTCTTTAGAACATGTACAATGCCCAAAAAGTGTTCAATTATTTGACCTTGTTCATTCACATATCACATCATGAAAGCCATTTTCTCTTTTCTCTATATGCCACGAGATTCATCAATCAGTATGGAAAAGAAATTATCGCCAAACTTCTTATTTATAAAAATTTGTTATTATAATTGAGACAACTATATCAGCGTCTGCTAAATATTAGGTGATGTTAATTTCACATTCTTGGGAACATTTTTTAATAATACATTATTTATATATTTATTATGCTTAGCAAAAAACTACAATACAACAACAACAACATCAAGCATTTATCTCACTACATGAGGTCGGCTACATGAATCATTTTTCACCATTGTGAAAAAAAATTCTTGAATTTGGATTTAAAAGACTTGTTATATCCTTAAAAAAGTCTATTTTTATCTCAAAAGAAACTTCATACGATTAATATAGAAGTATTTAGACGAGTATGATATGAAATTGTAGCTCGATTACATTGCATATGAAAGCAAAGCTAATAAATTAACTTTGTTTCATTAATTCCTCATCACTTTTTCGTGCAATATTATAAGCACTATTAGGGCCTTTAACATAAAGATCAAATATATTAGGATTTTTCAATTTAAAAATTCATTCTTGTTACATGCCTTGTCATCCTCTTTTCATCTCCTTATGTTTTCTAAAAAGCTAACAACATTAATAATATGTTTTATTTTTATTTATGTTTTACTCTAATTAAGCAGACTATCTATCAAACCAGCTCAGATTGAAATGTTTGTCTTTGGCTCCATATATATCTGTAGGAAAGTCATGATTGTGAGACTGACATGCATGACCCTCTTTGCAAGTACAATCTTCAGGCTTGATCTCAAATATTACAACTAAATTCAGAATTGGTACTCATAATCCAAGATCTAATGGAAGATTTTATAGAACTATTTTTTATTTTTTAATGACTCTATCTCCATTCAACTTCATTTTTTTTATTTTGTTCCCCGTTCCTTTCTTTTGTTTCATTTGAATTTATTGATAAATTTGACTTTAATGATTTTAAAAAAAAAAATCTTTCCATGGTCCTAAGAACCTGTAAGTTGAAAAGCAAAAAAAAAAAAAATCATTTGAATTATTTATATTTTTTATTAAACACTAATAAGGCATATTATCAATTTTTGCAATAAACTCAAATAGTATTTATATAAGAGTTAATTATCCTAAGCTGACGCTTAATTTTATAACTTATATAAATCAATATTAATAAGAATTAGTGCTTTATTTTGTATTAATACTAACCAATATTAAACATTTGCTCAAGTTATTTCAAAACCAAACTTAGAGAAACATCTACACATAGGAAATAGGCAACCAAAAGCAAAAAAAAAAAAAAAATCCACTTTCTTCAAATTAAGCATCAGCTCATATAAAAATTAAAATTTTGATGTCACACCTCAGCTTTTGGAAGAAAATCATAGGTACCTAATAAAAGGGTACAAGCAAAAAATAAAAAATAAAAAGAATAATTTCAATCAATATTTTAAAATTTTATGCATAAAATTCTAAATCTTAATATATTTTAAGTGAATCGAGCACAATTCACGAGTCATTTATTGTATGGAGTCCGACTTGACTTACACCCTTACCACCCTTATTCGCCACCTTTATAAGAGAGATTATTCTGTGCGGACATCGGACCGTCCGGAGGTGAATCAGAGCGTGCCACGTCATCTGGTATACAACAAACGAGTTACGTGACACACTCTAATTCGACTCAGGACGGTACCCGGTGTCCACACAGAATATTTTTTCTCAATCTAAGGCTTCGGTTCAAATAACTTTTTATTACTTTTTAAAATAAAATTTTTATACTAAAACTCTATCTTAGAAAGCAATAAAAAATCGATTCAAATCAAGTCTAAATCTTGCATTCAGCTGAGCCACATTATTGCTTCATTCCAGCTCTATAGACTTGGCTAGTCATTCAGATAGTCATGTCGTATATTTTTTATGCATTTTGTCGCCATGAAAAAAATTTAATGTGACGTTGTATTATACAAATAATAAAATTAATATGATAAATATGTGCGTTTTATAAACTTAAGCCCTATGCGTAAAAATCCCCCCTTTTTCACGTTTTTTGGTTTCATAAATTTAATCCTAAAATGCTCACTCACTTGGAACATGAACTCCACTCATTTTCTTGGATTCACCGGCAATGATGCGCAAGAGCATATTTCTTCATTCCATCCGATTCTTGGACGAGGAAGATCAGGAGAAGAAATAAATCTCAATGCCCTCCCCTTCCCATCGGCCTTCAGCACGGACCTGACCAAAAGCATGAGTTGGCTTCTCTTGATCCATTCAGAGGCCAAAAAGCTACAAAAACTTGACGATGCGGAAACTTCCGATCAAGTCTTCGAATATAAGATACTGAGAGAAAGACGAATTAAGCAAACGCGGAGGATTACTCTTACATTTCGATATATGTCTTGATTCTAACGCCCATTTTGAGGGTTTTTAGTTTTTTCGAAATGTAAATATTTACCTCCATCTTCTGATACTGAATCTGTGACTTGTTTATTATACTTCAATTTTCTATTTTGGGATCCTAAAAACTGTTCTTTTAACTTCTTAGATATTGTTTTGGATTATTTCTGTTTGCAGGTCCTTGTTTTGTCTCGGCCACTTACCTTTCCTGTTATATAATTTTTCTTATAAATTTTAGCCTAAGATCGCAGCTTTTACTGGTTAAGAATGACAATTGGAAATGTTTATCCGAAGGAGAGGAGCAGGGGAAAGAGCAAGCGTGTTCTTGAAGAGAACGCTCCTTTGCTACCTAGCTCGCAGGTGGGAAGTGAAACTTTGAACGAGTTCAATGGAGCTTCTTTTTCTGGGGCTGTGTTCAATCTCTCTACTACAATTGTGGGAGCTGGAATCATGTCTTTGCCGGCCACCATGAAAGTTTTGGGTTTAGTGCCAGGGATTGCTATGATCGTCTTGTTTGCTTTCCTTACCGAAGCTTCAATAGAGCTGTTGATCAGGTTTAGTCGAATTGGGAAGTCGATTGCTTATGGTGATGTCATGGGTGATTCGTTTGGGAAAGCTGGGAGGATGCTGCTTCAGATCTGTGTGGTTATTAATAATGTTGGTGTTATGGTTGTTTATATGATTATAATCGGTATGGCATCTAATATTGACTAACTTATCTCAATCATTCACCCAAGCTTTTGGTGTTCACGTTTGACTGGTTTTCTCGTGATTATGCATTTGTTATCTTCTAAGAGTTGCTTATATATTTTTCAAGAATTGCAAGCTAAACCTAGATTCATCAAGGTACTGGGAGATGGTTTTTCATTTGAACAAACCCTTACATGAAGAATTCTTAGTGGATTATTTTGTGTACTTTTGAAGAAGTTTTACATCTGCTAAAATTTTTGTTTATTTAACTTTTTATACTATTTTTCTTGAGGAAATTACTCATTCATCAAGATTTTTTGCATGCAATCTAAGTTCTGTGAATGCTTCCATTGCAACTCCACTGTTTTAACATACCATTACATGCAAGAAACTCTTCAAGTTGGTTATTTGTGTTGGGGAGGAGGAAGTAAACACTACAATGAAAAAACAAGAAAATAAATAAAAGCAACGAAAAAATAAAGGACACCAAGATTTAACGCAGAAATATCCAAAATAGGAAAAAAAACCACAGAGTCACACCAGACCAAGAAATCCACCATGAAAATTGGGAGAAATAAGTACAAATTTCTCTCTCTCTCTCTCATTGCTTTTCTTCTCACATACACCTTTCTCAATGTCTAACTCACCAGGAAATACTAGAGAAAGCTAGTTAAAACCATCAAGGGATGCAACCCTTGAGAAAGACGAGAAAAAAAATTGTACAGTCCATCTTGTAGTGCTACGGTGCTAGTTTGGGGCGCTGCAGTGCTCAAGCCTCTATCTAATGATGCTGCACCGCTCAACCTCACAGTGCTGCGACCCTTAAACTAGCAACGCTACTGCGCCTAATCCAGAGCGCTATGGCACTCTGCTCTCTGTCGATCAGCATTGGGGAGTTTGGGAACACAACGTCAGGGCTCTTGGGTACACAGCGTCAGGTGCTCTGCACTCGAACCCAACCCCGCAACCCCCAGCAAGCAAGACAAACTTGAAGTCCGAGACAACCGAACAACCCGATTGATCAACACAATCAGATTCCACACATAGCAATTTGTTCTACTATATTGGTGTTAGTGTGTATGTGTGAAACCAAAGGCAAACTGAAGTTGGATTGGATATATTAGTGGTCAAACCTATTTTCTAACTCAATAGATTAAACTTATGGGTGAGGGCCAACCACTTGATATTTTTAGACCACTATATTTTCAACTATCGCAAGTAGGACTAAACCCAAAGCTTTATGTGACTTAACAATCTCTATCTGATGCGAGAACTCTCCACATCCGTTATCACTATCAACGTCCTCAAGTTTCATACACTAATAGTTCACTCAATTGCATGGATCTGTCATGTAAGTTACCCATTACATAACTTTTCTCAGCCATTGTAGATTCCACAAAAGACTCAAAGTAGCATGGATCTGTTGTACATGTGTGAGCCCCTTGTTCCAAATTGAATGATCAGCTCTGAAATCACTTCTAGGGGAGTATGGACCCAAATGGGGGTGAATCTTGGCCAAATGCACATGTACAAACCTTTTTTTTTAGGCCTCAAGGTAATGGAAAGATGCTTGGAATTTCTACATCGGCATATTTTTCAAATATTTGATGTAGCGTCAGCCCAAAGCTTCACTTGCTTTAGAAATTTGAAGCATTTTCATCTCAAGAATAAAATGGCCTTAGTTTTCCTCATAGAAAGAAGAGGTTTGTTAGGAGGAAGGTATTAGAAAAGCATCATTTGTGTCATAAGTTATATTTCCAAGTTCTTTCACTATTTTTGGATGAGGATTGGCTTTTTGCATTTGATTTCAAAGCATCATCTCCAAGCCGTCCTTCAAACAAACAACAAAAAACAAATTTATGGAATTAGGGGATTGAATTTTTCTTGTTTACATCTCAAGACTGTTTTAGTTGTTGATGTGTGAAAAGGAAATGGTCATCTTTAGGTTTTTGTGGAGTTCAAAAACAATATTAATTTCCAACTGCATTAAAGTAAGTAATTTAATCTAGTAATTCACCATTTTAAAAACATATTTTCTAACATGAAGAACAAGGATGGTCCCTTATTCCCTTTTTACATTCTTCTCCTGTTTGTTTTATTTATTCCTCACCTCCTTTATCTTACAATGATCATATGAAAAAAATAATCTTTTATTACTTTTTCTCTCATATGTTTCCTTATATGAGTTAGCAAGCTTCTTATAATGGTGCATGTTGACTAAATCTATCCTTCCTTTTATGTCCAGCTTCTCTGATAAGTTCTCTTAAATTTCCCCATGTTTTTTGAAATTTCTGCATTTTCATTCCTTTCTTCGTTGTGATACTCAATGGGGTATCTGTTATTTTTTTCAACTGATTTGCTTGTTGTACACATGTAAGTGCTCAGTGTATTAACAATTAGAGTTTACTCTCTTTTGGCAAGGTGATGTGCTTTCTGGAACATCTTCTAGTGGTGTTCATCACTCAGGTGTCTTGGAAGGATGGTTTGGGGATCATTGGTGGAATGGACGTTTCTTTGTTCTTCTTGTTACTACTATTCTAATATTTGCTCCCTTAGCTAGCTTCAAGCGTGTAGGTAAGTCTTGTCAGGTTGTTTACTTCATGGCATAATTTTTTGTTATTATTTTTTATTTAAGTTAATGGTAATGGTAGCATCTTTTTAACTTATTTTTCCAGAATTAACTTATTTTTCCTTTTGCAGATTCATTGAGGTATACGTCTGCATTGTCTGTTGCACTTGCAGTAGTTTTTGTTGTGATCACAGCTGGGATTGCTGTTCTCAAATTGCTAGTTGGAAGCATACTGATGCCAAAATTGTTTCCTGATATACCCAATCTTGCATCTATCTGGAACCTCTTCACTGCAGTCCCAGTTCTTGTAACGGCTTTTATTTGCCATTACAATGGTATGGTTTAATATTTATTGACGATAATTAGCATCATAAAGATATACAGATCTGTTTTTGCGTTACATTATTTTTAGGAAAGTATTTTTATTTTGGTATGTTTAATTAACACCCTTGTGTGTTACTTGAGCTTCAGCATAGGTCTCTTTATTCTTGAAACTTTATTGTAACATCCTAGGAGATTTTGAGAAAAGCAAAATGAAGTATGTGTAATGGTTAGTAATGTGATGTTGGAATCACTAAACAACTAAGAAATTTTCTTTCTTTCTATATATATATATATATAATTGAAAGTAGGACATAAGCTAGTTATAAATTATTAAAGTATATGCGTGAAGCTAGTGAATATTTAGTTTAAAGAAGTTGACTGGTGAAACTAGAATATGTGATCGCTAACTTTATGAACAACAGAGCATATGTAGAGATCTTTGGTATATATGTATTTCTTTTCTTCCACTTCAAATTTACTTCTCTTCTTGCTCAATGATTACTTCCACCTTACCTCTGTTGGGGCCTTCTTCTTTGAATCTTTGATCCACTCCTCTGCTCTGTTCCTTGCATCTTCACTTCATCCTGTTCTCTAGCTAAGCTCTTTTCACTCATTCTATCCTTAATCCAATGCGTGGAGAAAGATGAATGGACCTAGGAGGTAAGTTGAGCAATTAAATGCTACTTAAGCTTTCAATTTTTATGTTTATAGTAATATTTTCTTACGGTGAAGAAATTCTCATTTAATTGAGGTGTTATATTTCAATTTAAAAAATTTCTGTTCAAATAAATTAAATGGGTGATATTCTATCTGTAAGGACATAAAGTGCAGTTTAAGCAATGATTGATTTCCTTTGCACAATCGTGGTCTCTCTCTTTTTGGTTTACATTTCTCCACCCCTTATATTCCATAAATCATTCAGAAGAATGTTAGGATGACGTTTCCAGAAAATAATGATACTTTTTCATTGAAATCATGCAGTTCATAGCATAGACAATGAACTTGAGGACTCCTCCCAGATAAAGCCTATTGTGCGGACATCGTTAACACTCTGCTCTACTGTTTATGTAGCTACAAGCTTCTTTGGTTATCTTCTCTTTGGAGAATCAACTCTTCATGATGTGCTCGCCAATTTTGACGCCAACCTTGGCATACCATACAGTGCTGTTCTTAGTGATGTTGTTCGAGTCAGCTATGCTGCACACCTTATGCTTGTATTCCCTATAATATTCCATGCTCTGAGGCTGAACTTAGATGGTCTCCTCTTTTCCACTGCAAGGCCTTTATATACTGACAACTTAAGGTTCACAGTGACTTCAGTGGCGCTTCTTTCTCTCATATTTTTAGCTGCGAACTTTATTCCTAGCATATGGGATGCCTTTCAATTCACAGGTGCAACTGCTGCTGTTAGCATCGGGTACATCTTTCCCGCTGCCATCACACTAAGGTGAGTTTTTTTTTACTTACTTGTCCAATCTCGTTTACTTGGTCCATAGATATATGTATTGCAAAACAATGTGCTGTTTTTCATGTAGTGGAACCATGGGCGAATGCCCCCCCCCCAAAAAAAAAATCTTTATTATATGATTCTTTCGGTAATTTGTCCCCCAACATGTATTTTTTAGTTTTACTACAAGGGAGCAATTGCCCCCCCCCCCCCCCCCCCCCCCCAACCCCCCCCCCCTAAAAGTTTGAAAATATTTTGGTCTTTAGTCAATTGCCCCAACATAATTAAATACATTGTGTAGAGATATTATTGTTAGGGAAAGATAATCCAAATACAAAGAGAAATAGTAAAGAGAATTCAAAAATATCCTTAAAACCAAAATTTATTACGGGGGGCACTACCCCTGGAAATCCCCGCAGGGGCGTTGCCTCTTGACCCCGCGACATATCTGCGAAGCGTACAACGATGAGCAAATAGGGTTGAGAGGCATCGTCCTCGGAACAAATGTTGGTTGTAAGGATATTTATGAAAAAAAAAAAAAAAAAAACTCTACACTTTTAGGGTTTAGGGACATCCTTCGGTATATCCCACTTCTTCCCATTGATAAATCAAACTTTTATTATATAACATTATGTTAAGGTAAGGGGATTTGAAGGGCCAATGTCTTCTGAGCTTTATACTTTCTTATAATTTCTCTTTTTCTCCAGGGATCCTCATGGCATTGGAACATTGAGAGACAAACTTCTATCTGTTTTAATGATTATGCTTGCAGTACTGTCTAATGGAGTAGCCATATACAGTGATGCCTCCTCCCTCTTCAACAGCACCACAGCCTAAGCACATTGTTGATCTCCGTTGTCTTCCTTTTGGCTGAAGAAAGCAATTCTTATGGTTAGTGTGTACAAAGAGGACGCCTGCATTGGGTTTCCTTGAAGTTCAGTGCATTTATCAACTACTAGCGCAACATAATTGTTGAGATCTATTTTCCGATTTTATTCATCTATATAGGATCACAGGTTTTTTTATTGCTTCTTAAAGCAACTTTTTAGTAAAAAATTAATTTTTTTGTTCTAGAAAGCTGCTTTAAGAAACAGTGTTAGTACCTTAATCTTTGTAGAAATCAATATTTTGAGAGGTGGAGAAATATTTGAGATTTTTATTTAGCTAGTTGTAACTGCGTTTCCTTAACCTTGCAACACCTGTTAGAGTAAGCCTTGAACAATAATGCTGTAAATAACCGTTTTTATGTGAATAATCCTTAAAACTATATTCAAGGCTTGTAAAACTCTGTAAAATCTTGGCTCCTTCTGGCCTAATGGTTCTGAGTTAAAACTTCATTATAAATTATAAAGCTAAATATGCTCATGATATAGAAGATAAGAATTAAGTGTCATATAAACGAAAATTCTATATTATGGGAGCCACTTCTTGCTTGAAAACCGATTGAATTATCAGTCAATTTGAAATCAATTCGAAATATTTTACGCCCAATTTTTTATCAAACCAAACATTTCCTTAATAAATCAATGACATCAGTGACGCTTCCTTTGCTGCTATGAATGAATTCCTGAACTTCCTATCAAGTATCTGATGTCTTTAGCGGTCAAGTAAATGAAGCTACCCTTGAGTCTGAAGTAGGCTTTAATATTATCATAAACCAGTAAAATGAATCTCTTCAAAATCCTACAGGCAAAACCCATATTACTGGGAAATTTGCTTAGACAAAACTGGGAAGGGAAAAAAAAGGAAGAAATAGGTATGAGAGTATTTAGAATGGGAAATTTGCTTCATGTTCCCTCTCTGGAAAAATTATTAGGTCCAGATATCTGATGTAGCTTTACATTCGGACGTTAGTAACATGTCGCCACATGCTCTTACTATTTATCGCGCGGCCCGACGACTCGAACTCGGTATTGCTATGTATTGGCTGATTTGTGCTGACCGGGGTATTGCTAGATATTGTTCGGTATTGCTCGGTATTACTCGGCAATAATGAGAAATATCAATCTGTCAAGACCAATACCGGGTCCGGACACCTGATGTAGCTCTACATTCGGACGTTAGTAACATGTCGTCACATGCTCTTACTATTTATTGTGCGGCCCGACGACTCGGACCCGGTATTGCTATGTATTGGCTGATTTGTGCTGATCGAGGTATTGCTATGTATTGGCTGATTTGTGCTGACCGGGGTATTGCTAGATATTGTTCGGTATTGCTCGGTATTACTCGGCAATAATGAGAAATATCAATCTGCCAAGACTAATACCTAGCAATACCGAGCAATACTCCAGTTTTGCTAGGTATTGCTTGGTATTGCTAGGTATTGGTCTTGACAGAGCGGTATTTCTCGTTATTGTCAAGCAATACCTAGTAATACCGAACAATACCTAGCAATACCGAGCAATACCAGAACATAGCAATACCGGGTTCAGGTATGGGTCGAGTTTTTGGGCCGCGCGGTAAAGAGTAAGAGCACGTGGCGACATGTTATTAGCGTCCGGATGTAGAGCTATGTTCGATGTCCGGACCTAATAATTTTTCCTTCCCCACGGACCCAGCCTCGCCCGCTATCCTTATTAACAACCATAGTTACTCTTATTGACATCTTCATTATTGATCCCATTACATCTGCACTATAAAGCCCTCATTTGAGAGGTTTAATTTCACCTTTTTTGTTTCTAAATGGCAGAAATTTTTTTGGATGTTATTTGTATGTGCCACTTTTATGGAAGTATTTTTTAGAAAATTGTATTTTTGTATTGTTTTCAAAAGCTTTTTGATTTTAACTTCTCTGTTAGAAAACTCCATTCTTTCAAATAATAGTTTTAAAACTACATTTTAGAAAAAGTACAGAATAACCAAATGAAGCTTAAGTCGGACAAAAAATTAATAAAAAAATAAATATTAACACAAAAACTTTGATTAATTTTGACGGTAAATAAACACCAAATTAATTTCCCAATTTTATTTTACAATAACTTATCCCTGTCGATCCTATCTCTTATTGACGTCATATCTTTCGATCACATTATTCTATATTATGTGTCATAACAAAAGTTCAATATAAAAATAATATTTAAAATATAAATTAATAAAAAAATTAATTCACTTTACAATCAATCAAATATATTTTTTATTTTTTATTTACAAACAACAAATAATCTTGAGTATTCCTAATAAATTATATTTATAATATATTTCAAACGCACATTAAGCCAAATACTTATTAAGTAAAAATAGTCAAGATAAATATAAAGTAAAAATAAATTTCAAGGCAATTTTATTTATTTTTGCATAAGTTTTAAATGCATGGATAATATGTGTAAGATTTAGCTTTAAAAGGTGGAGTTTTTAAAAATTTATATGGAAAATAATTATATGGAGTCATAGAAGTCTTTGGAAAAAATTGAGCGTTTTTTTACATATAAATAATATATTTTAATTTTTTTTTTTGTTATATATCCATTTTCAATGTAAATATAAAATTATTATTATTATTTTTAGATTTTTTTTTTTTTTAACAATTGATCTTAGCCAAAAGGCCGAGAAAGGGTTTTTTTTTTTTTTTTTGAAAAACTAAAAAGAAATGATAGCCGCGTTGGCAGTGTACGGGGGTCGGGCTAAAAGCATAACCTCTATATAAATGGAAGCTTCTGGTCGGTTCGAGCAATGTTGTTCCGAGAACGATGGATGCCTCTGGCCTCCCAATCAAACGCCAGAGAACTCCAAGTCCAAAAGGGAAGGAGAAGATGGGAGAAGCAGCAATCGGAGACGGAGCAGTGTGCGGGATCTGCTTCTCGGACGGCGGCCTGGCGGCCCGCGGCTGGATCGATAGCTGCGACCACTACTTCTGTTTCGTCTGCATCATGGAATGGGCCAAGGTCGAATCCCGCTGTCCCATGTGCAAGCAGCGCTTCCGTTTCATACGCCGCCCGGAGGTATCCGGCGGCATAGCCGAGAGTGCTTTGGAAATCCCCGTCCGCGATCAGGTTTGGAGAATTATCCCTGTCTTTTAAAATACTAAGTGGGTTAGAAAGGTTTGGATGATTATCTATGAATAATTTCACTTCTGTTTAGGGTTATGCTATTGCTCGTTTATGGATTGCTACTTATTGAAATCTTTGCTCTTTCGAGGCAACATAATGGTGCTTTTCGTTTGTATATGAACTTGCCTGAAACTGATTTAATTAATATATATAAAGCTCGTTAAATTGAACGCTAGGCGAGAAAATTAAAAAAAAAAAGACTTGTTTTTTGAAGTGGTTCGGTATTTATATCCACCTTATGGTTTTAATTATGACAACATTTGCAGAGTTATGGCTTGATTCTGCACTTGAATGTTGTTAGCCAGTGGCGAATCCAGAAAATTTATTGAGGGGGCCTAAATTATTTCATTAAAATTTTGGGTTTCCTCAATTTTTTTGATCCAGATTTAGGATCGGCTTAAATAATTTTAAATTTTTTTTATTATTATTCAAAAATATAAAATAGTAAACAACTTACAATTTACAATATTAAATATAAGACTTGTAAGAAAAATTTAGCAGGCTACTAAAGATTGAAGCAGGACTTGACATGAATTTATAGTTATCTTGAATAATTTTTAGAATCTAACATTAGCTTTTTTCCGATTTTTTAGTCACGAAGCATGAGTTATCTTATAAGCCGATTTTATTATTATTATTTTTAGCCCCTTGTGATTACTCCACCTGCTCCTTGTCACAACAGCTATTCTGCTTTGATTAAATGCTCATACATTATCAGAGCAATGGTTACAGAAAGAATTTGCTTATACTCAAGGCCACAATAATGATGGCATTAATTATTGATATACGTTTAGTTGTTTGTTTTATTTTAAAGAATTTATTTTATATTTGTATTTATTTATTTTATTTTAAATGATTAAATTTATATTTAATTTCTTTATTGATCAGACAAATTGACTAAAAAGAAAAGAAAATTGAATCTGCTACTGAAGTGTTTTCGATAACATTTGAGAATATGAAAAATTTTGTTGACATGATCGCTCAAATGTTGAGCAATAAATTAGCAGAATGTTCTGGAGAAAGTTTTAAAAAAAATTGGTGAAAGTAGCAAGAAAATGACTGTTAATATTGTCAAAGCACCTACTACTCTACAATGCATATGGTGTGGGAGAAGACATGTGGGACACTATTATAGGATAATAGGACAATACTTTTGATGTGGTGATTATGAACATCGAATGACAGAATGCCTATTTCCTGGACTTAGGCAAGCTTTTATTCAGACTGAAAATATGCAATTGAAATTTGTGAAAATGTTCCTCAAGTACTTGAAAATATGACTGGTATGATTTTATTTAATATTGCTTACAACGAGATTTTTAAATGATTTTGAATTGATTTTTTATGATTTATATAATTATATCTGAGATAGATTTTTGAGTTTTGAACTAATTTGATTTCATATATTATATATTTGAGTTTGTTTTTATTTCGTAGTATTTTATTTTGTATTACTCATGATAAATGTCGAGGGTGACATTTTCTTAAGGTGTGTAATTAAAAAAATTCGCCCTCAACATTATCACTAGTAATACAAAATAAAATAATAATAATAATAATATAAACAAACTCAAATCTACAATATATGAAATCAAATTGATTCAAAATTTAAGAATTTATCTCAAATATAAACCATAAAAAATCAATTCAAAATCATTGAAAAATCTCGTTGTAAGCAATAAATTAAATAAAATCATATCAGTCATATTTTCAGGCACTTGAGGAACATCTTTCACAATTCCAATTATTTTTTTTCAGTCTGAACAGATCCTTGCCAAGTCTAGGAAATGGACATTCTGCCATTCGGTGTTCATAATCATCACATCGAAAGCATTGTCATCTTATCCTATAGCAGTATCCCACATGTCTTCTCTCACGTCATATGCATTGTAGAGTAGTAGGTGTTCTAACAACATTAACAGTCCTTTTCCTGCTACTTTCACTAATTTTCTTAAAACTTTATCCATAATGTTTTGCTAATTTATCACTCACCATTTGAGCGATCATGTTAGCAAATTTTTCCATATTCTCATATGTTACCAAAAACACTTCAGTAGTAGATTCAAATTTATTTCATTTTTGGTCCACTTACCTGATCAATAAAGAAATTAAATATAAATTTAATCATTTAAAACAAAAATAAAAAAAATATAAAATCAATTTTTCAAAATAAAACAAACCTCTAAACGTATTTCAATAATTAATTCAATCATTACTATGGCTCTAGCTATAAGCAAATTCTTTCACTAATCATTGCCTGAAATGTAATGTCTCATGCTCTAAATGAAGAAATATATTTTTTATTCTCTATTTTTCATTGTAATGTCCCATAATCGAAGTGAAAGAATATATTTTACTCTTTTTTTTTTCAACCAGATCAATATACACATTTAAAGTTGATTAATTGCATTAAAGAAAATAAATAAAATATGAAAAATATAATTCACATTATTACAATTAATAATTATAATCCACAACTAGCGTCTAAAAGAATATATACAATAGCCACACTGGCTACAAAAATTCATGAACCAAAAGCTAACATAAAATCTATACTAGCATTAATATAAATCTTTATGCGGTAGGTTCTTTATCTGAAATTATTTAAAATCACATATAATGAGTTTAAAAAGTCCAACAGGTCACCAAAGTTTATAACTGAATTCAAAGCATGGAAAAAGAGCAATATGCATGCTAAGGATCAAATCATAGAAATACTAGTTATATGATTAATGAATAAGTACAAGAGAATAGTAAAATCTAAATATAATAATAGTAAAATTTATAAACAGTAAAATAATACAGTATAAAAACTAGTAAACTAGTACGAATTTTAAATCTATAAATAAAATCAAAATAAAGACTATCAAAATCAAATCAATACAGTAAAATTATATAAAAATATACACATGTTATCTACATCCTATATCACATAATCAATATATCACATACATAATATCATTATAGTTAATCGGCAGTATCAAATAGTATCAATATCTATAGTAGTAACAGTAAAGTGGCATGAGCAGTAGAATAATGCAATAACAATAAATCTGTGTAGTAACAATAAATCCGTACAATAATAAAAACAATGCCTCAGGAACATGCATTTCAGTAGTCACACTAAACAAGTAAGAAGTCCTGGTTATCACAGTGTTTTTTAATGTTAGTATCAGTGTTAGTAAATCATTGGCTCAATAAATAGAGTCGTCACTATTTGCCCATTAGCATATTAATAATCTCCTTATAACTCCCAATTAGTGTATCATGTGAATTAGTCAATGATAATATCAAACCGCTTTATTTAAAGAAAATTTTATCGGTCCACCATCATGTACAGGTCAATTAGTCTCCAACCAACGAGTCAACCAGTCTTTACTTGTTTATTTTACACACGCATATTATTATAACAATATTATAACAATAATAGCGACTAGCTATAATTCAAATACATATTCATATCCATTTTCAATGCATTGTAGCAAATAATGCATAATTGAGCTAAATTAAGAAGATGTCAAGGTGTCATAATGGTATACAATAAAGAATTTTATTAGATAAAAATGTACATTTTCAGAAAATTACCAAAATATCAAAAATTGTATAAACGATGTTTTAAGACTTTTATTGTACTACACTTCTATTTTTGGAGGTCAAAATAAATTTCTCGGTAGACAAAAATCATTGTTGTTTCAAAATTATCCGGTGAAAAATCTCAAATAAATATTTAAAATGCTCATAATTATGATATCTATAACATACAAAATGTTACTTGGTGAAAGTTTTACCAATATAAAGTTATTCACATTTTTTGTGACGAAAGTACAAATTTAATCAGAAAAATATCAAAAATATAAAATCTTTAAAATCAAAAATAGGGTATGGATTCCTTACAGTGAGAGGAGCAATTATCCCAACATGCTTGACGAACAAAAATCATACCGCGGCCTCCAAATCTTGATTTCTTTTTTTTTCTCCTCTAAATTCTCTCTTATTTTCTCGCAAACGCTATCTGTTGGCCGAATATGAAATGGGGAAAAGGATTTAATATCTCATAATGTTTTAAGATATTTTTTATTAAAATAATAATTTTTATATTATATAATTTATTTAATTAATTTATTTAGTATAAAATTCTAATAAATCATTTTAAGACTAAAAAAATTATAGAAAAATATTCATAAAATAAAGCATGTTATTTAGAAAATATCGATTAAATCGGTTTGCAAAATGTACAACTAAAGGTCTCGAAATCTTCACTTGTACTGTCATGCACAAATTCTTTAAGGATTTTCACCGTTGCCAAAAAATTACGGAAAAAAATCATGTAAGTAAAATACTTCGATCAAAATACTATGACAAAAATGATTTGCGATTTGGAGTTATAATGATTAAAAAAAAAATTGGTAAAGTCAAAATACGGTCTATTACAACTTCTCCAACCTTTACTTCTACACTAGATTGAATTAAGGAAAAGAATAAGTGACGCTCTTCAGTATCATGTATCTATCTCTTTAGATAATGCTTATAAGTGATTGCTAGCAGGCTATAAAGATTGGGTGAATTGTGGTAGGTAACATAATTATATTAGGTAGATGGTGCTTGGTAATAAATTTGTAGGGTTTAGGAGGAGACTAGTAAATAAGAAATTTATGGGAGTTGTATAGAGAACTTTATCACCATATCTAAAAAATCTCTCACTTACGGATAGAATTTTCAGCATACTATTTTGAGAGTCATCTTTATGTAGCAACTCCTCCCAATCATCCATGGATGTTGACTAAGGCTTTGTAGTGCCTAAGTCCATCACTGGTAAGATTGTTAACCTTTATCACACTTTTCCTTACTATCATGTCGCTCTTTGAACATGATTTTCCTTTTTGCCTTGCCCTTTGAAAACTTCAACTTGACAAAAGCTTTATTCTGCACTGCACCTTCTGAATCATTAGAAAGAGATTTAATATTTGCTTTTACTATTTGGAGTTTTATGTTTGTAAATGGAGCCATCGTTTCTTCCATGTACAATCGCCGTAACACCAATAGACACATTTCAATTATTAGTATAGAAGGTTGAGACGCAACCTTCTTCACCAAGTTAACTAATCGAGATCAATTCCTTCTTTAAACATGGAAGGTGCCTCATATTGTTAAGCTTTTATATTGTCTCATTAGCAATCTTGATTCAGGAGTTCACCATCATTAAGATGAACCTTCATGCAATCTTCTATAAAACAAATAAATATAAAACACATCTAAGTCCAAGATCTATGACTTCATAGGATTATTCACTAAGGATCAATGCATCTCATAGATCTCTTCACTTGTAGTGTTCATAGATTCTTCGGTTTGAACTCTATCCACCGTTCCACCATGAACATCTCTTTTTATGTGGACAATCTTGTCACATTGTCAATATGCATACCTGTGAACTTTGAGTTGGCTCCTCTACTACAATTTAGATCTACCTCCATTGTTTTCTCTTCGCGTACTCCATCTACTCTCAAGATTCAGAGCAATATAAAACCTTCACCTAATTCTTAGCTCATAGTGCCCCCATTTAAGATTATGTCACAGGCATCATTTAGCTTCAGCTTCATAGACCTGCATTAATGGTTAACAAATACCTTGGTTCGAGGTTGACTTTTTGGTAGTGATGATAACAAGCTCAATTCGTGAACTTTATCATTGAAGTTGATATTAATCAAGCTCAATTGACTTGTGATCAGATTTTACTCATCGATGTACATTATTATGGAAGCACCTTCAACCAACTTAAGATTAAAAAATTCTCTCATTAAATTTACCTTGCTCACTATTGATTTCTCATAGAAGTTTGACAGATTTTTTATCAAACCATCTACAATCCTCTCATGCAATATGTTGAAGGAAGCATTCTTTATCAAGACAAGCGTACAACTTCGAATGCCACCTATTCAGGAGATCTCAGTCTTTTTGGTCAAAATTGTTGGCTTTGACTCAAAAGAGAGATAAATAAAGCTTTTTCTTGTGCAAGTAATCTTCAATTTTTCTTTTTTATATTAATATGAATCTCTTAGCATCCAAAGTTCTTGCCATTAAGTTGGTTGGCTAGCTTCCCATCATTGACCCTATAGTGCTTTCGTTAATGACCCAACAGAGAAATCCCTTTGTATGATACTAGCCATGATAACCACTAGCCTAAAATCACCATATTAGTCGCTTCTCTAACATTCACCTCTACAAATTAAGGAGTGCAACGAGTGATGCACTTCAACACCATGCAATAATTTCTTTATATAATGCTTAGAGTTTACAAATGTTAGGTAAATAGTGGTAGGTAAGTAGTTGTAAAGATTAGCTAGAGAGTGATAGGAAGAAACTTTTAGGAATTTGACAGAGAAATTTATCTCCACATATTAATAGAATGGGTTTTACTTCCAATATATGATTTTGAATTACAGTGAAGTAGGATGAAATTTGTATAGTTATGGTTTGATTTTGCACCATCACTGTTTGTAACACCAGATACATTATTAGTTGATAATGATTAAAGCTTAAAAAATATATGGTAGAGTTGCACAAAGAGAGTGAGAAAAGGACCAAAGAGATGGGAAAAGTGGCCAAATGTTGTGGATAAACTTTCAACGTTGTCATAAGCAAATTCCTCACTTCGCCTCTTAAGATGTAGAGATTCACAATTTAGGTAGGGGTAGCCACATATAGGGTGTCACAAGGCATCCCGAATTCTCCTTTTATCAAGACAATCTATCCTCCGACTTATACCATAGACTTTTGTAAAACAGTAATGCTAAGGGATACATAATACATGGTGAATGAGTTAAAGCAACACACTAGTTAGTGAGTGTATCATATAAAAGGGATTCAACTGAAAAACAACAATTTGGTTAGCGAGGTAATTCTTCTAGAGAACAGGAGGTTGTGCCATCTGTTATTTTGTTAATACTTCCCAAGGAAACTTATAATTGCTTCCCAGCATTGTTGACCCAAAAAATATGAAATATATTTTGATGCTTCAACTTATGGAAAGTCAGGAGTGCTAAGTAATGAGTGGAGTTGTCCCATCACGAGCAAGTGTTATAAAGTGTAAATAGTAAGGTTTGTAGGGGCCGCTCCATGGCAGTAGGAGTTATTGAGAACGATGAAGTCATTAGCCCAATGCACAATTTTGAAAAAAGAGGGGTGGGGGCACAATTGAACTAAAGTTTATTTATACAAGAAATTAAGATTCAGTATAGACAACTAAATAAGTAGAATTTTGTGCAACTGAAGTATTTACTCCCTTTAATTTAAAAACTAATGATGAATGATATTTAAAGAAGGAAAATAAAGTGTGAGCAATGAAATTGAATTTAAAAAGGTTTGCTTGATCTGACCCCTATTTGGAATTTCCTGACTTAGTGAACTTCTTTCAAATGGTAAAAGCCAAATTAATCACACTCTCTCTTTTTGGTTGGCTCAAGGTGACAACCCAAGCAATGGGATTTTTATCGGGCACAAGTCCAACCATCAACCCTCTCATGACTAGAATACAATGGGTGGAGTGGTATGGGACGAAATCCCACAAAGGATCAGTCAAAGTTGAGAGAAGTTTGCATTAGAGGAGCAACTAGATAGACTTGAGTGCAAGCAGAAGGAATTGATATAAAGTTTCAATGGTGCTTTTTAACAGTGCCATGCCAAAGAGCATCAAAATCACTTATGAATATTTGTATGTGTGGCACTATAAAATTCTATAAAAGTTAGGTGAATGTTTTAGAAAACAGCAACAAGAAGTTAGGCTGATAAAACTGGAACAATAGAAATGTGGTTGCCCTTTTATACGAAATGAACTGGTCCTTCTGACCAAGTTTCAGTTTTTTGAGAGCTGATTGTTTCCAACGGAGTTGCTCATTATTTTATTTTATTTATTTATTTTGAAATTAACAAGTTTTTAAACAATTTAGGAAAAACTGAACCCAAAAGTTCATTAGAAGTTCAGATGATCAAAATTCCCTTTTCCAATTCGAATCTCCTCTAGAATAACAAAGTTTGAGCCTATCTAGAATTTATCGAGTTCTTTGAGAGAATGTTCAAGACACGTTTTTCAAGCTAATATATGCAAAGTTTAGATTTATTAAAATGAAACATACACAAAATTATTTGAGTCAATCTTAAAAGTTTTTAAATATGAAAAACCTTGAATAGATAATAATGAGCCTTAATTTGAATGGAACATTAGACTTATCTCAGGAAAAAGTTTGATTAACCTCTTTGCCTTTTTTATCATGAAATTGAATCTATCGAAGCCAAAAGGCCTCGCTTATCAATTGGCCCCAAGTGTATGCATAGGAAAAATGATCGTATGAATATTCAATGGTAATCCAATAAATTTCTAAAATTGCCGACTAATTCTTCAAAAATTTGACAAAAAACTGAGTAGCGACTAATTAGCTAACAAATTCATTCAATAGTGTGAAAATTATGCAGATTAGGTGATATAAATGTCAATTTTACCCCTTGTAGCGTATTGCAACATCAGTTTTTATGTAATCCATCTTCAAGAATTATGGGAAAAATATACAAAACTCGTATATAAATTCTTTTTTTATTGAGGATGAAAGTATGGTTCGGTATGTTTCAGACTTTCAGTAAAACTAAAAGCATTTTGAATTCTTTGTGAGCATTACGTTTAGGACAATTTTTTAATGTGAATCACCACGAGCAAACGGCCAGCTCCATTGCATATACAACTGAAAGATTCCTGAGAATTTTTTGTACGGCTGGGTTCTGTGGATCTAATCATAATGAACCTAAAGGTAAGAGTAGCTCACAGTAGATCTATACTAGCATAAACAAAATAAAGTTCCATGTCTAAATCTCTTCTGCAACCTATATGTTAATTTTGATTCCGAAGCACCTAAAAATGTCAGAACAATTAGTGAGATTCCTGAATTAACCTGTTGGAGAAAAAAAAAAGTTCTTACATAAAAAGATCAGAATATCAAAATATATATGAGCTGTTTTAATAACTAACAATGAGTTGCTTAGCTATCAGAACTAGTAAATACAGGTTTTTATTCATTTTCTGCTTTATAAATTAGAACCATAGTATTAAAAGTTTGGACTGTGACATCCATGTGTGTTCTTCCACCTTAAAAATTATGACCTTATTTTGTCCAGTTCTGTTTGTTGAGAGTAACATGAAATTCTACTAATTTACATTAATTGTTATGCTATCAATTTTTGTGGTTTGCAAAAGCATCGCAATTTGTGGTGCATTGCTCTGAAGTCCTTGCGCATATTCTAAAAAACTGTTTTTATTTGTCTTCTCACCAAGCTTGGTGTTTGTGGATGTTTACTTAGAAAAATGTCTTTGAGAAAGAAAAGAATTGAGTTGAGACAGATATTTACTTGTAATTGGACATTGTTGCTTGTACATCATGCCAAGGAGATATAGCCTTTGTATACCTATTATGCTGTAAAAGAATATATATATATATATATATATATATATATACCATTAGTATTACCTTGATTGTAAATGAAGATAGTAATGACATCAACCTTGTCATGGCGTGTGCTTACTTGATACTGCTACTTGATTTTCTAGGTTTATCATCCTTTAGGCAATGAAAGCAGTGCACTTTATGATCTCTATGCTCAAGCTAGTTGCAGAGTGTGTCATGGTTCTAATGATGATGAATTACTTCTACTGTGCGACCTATGTGATTCAGCTTTTCATACTTACTGTGTTCGGTTGGGTTATACTGTCCCTGAAGATGATTGGTACTGCCATGACTGTACCATTATGAGGGAAGAACATGCAAAAATTGATGGGGATACCAATGATACGGACCAAGATCAAGGCACAGTTGTGCTGGATCAGCAGCAACCTGCTTCCGTCTTCGATATTTTGGCTGATGAGAGGTCTTCTACTATTGAACAGCAACATTTTCATGATAGACCAGTTTCTAAAAGTAGTACAAATATTCAAATGAGCTTTGAAGATATCATGTTGCATGCAGAAGAATCGGATTCCTCTTGCTCTGCATCTCAGGGAACTGACATGTACCTTCAACGAAGTGGTGTTGGGCAAACAGCAAGGACCTTTCAACATTCATGCAATATGCAAAGCCGTGTACAGGATCTTCGCAAGAATTGGACTGCTCTGCAATCTGGTTCTTTGGCTTTCTCATCCACCTTAGATAGTAATGGAGCCACCATGTCTGGTGTAAAGCAAAGAACCAGCAGAACAAATTCAGATCTATCACAACAGTCAAAGTCCTCAACTTTGGTCGATAATGAGCGGCTGACAGATTCTAGTACCTCTAGTAAAATTTCTGCAATTAGTGACTCGCAAGATGTTGAGAAAGCATGGAAGATGATGCAAAGGGCAAAGAAGCACAGGTTGGCTAACTCTTCTTTGAATTCACCGAGATACAATAATTCCTTAAACTCTGCTGGTGCTATTTCAGCATCAAAGGGACCGGTAAGTCATTCCTTAAATTTCTTGATCCCCAAAAATAAGATGGCTACAGATAAAGTGGTAGGTTGTAGTACTTCAGGAACCTGCAAACAGCTTTTGACTAAAGTCGTGCATGAGAGACATAAATCCACAGGTTTTTATCAGAATTTTCCTGATAAAAACTCTTCAATTCTGTCACAACATGGTAAAAGATTAGCTATAAAAACTATGAGCGTCATGCAGTTAGGTTCTTGTAAGACAAATACGGCTTTGACAACAGAGTGTGCTGGCAATGTACAGGAAGTTTCACCAGTACGGCTATCTAAGTTTCATGAAGTTAAATGTTCATCACTTTCTAGTGCTACCTGTGAAGCAGCCAGGAAATCTTCAGGGGTTTGTTGCACCAAAAAGTTGACTCTAGATGGGAATGAGACTGCAAGCGGATATACTGGCAGAACGTCGTCAAAAGGGTATGAAATATCCAACAACAATGTGAAATCTGAGATTCAGTCAATGGTCAAGCTCAACCTACAGCGGCTAAGTAAAGGTGAACGTTTAGGTAAATTCATCATCTTATAATTATACTGATCTAATTTTCAGGCCTATGGTACTAAGTGCATAAGTTCTTTGGTTCAGCATCTCTTCTCTTTCCTTAGTTCCTTGAGTACACCAGGTCTGAATGCTTTTGACTTTCTGCATTGCTTGCTTTCTTTTTATGAGAACTTTGCTAGCCTATCTTAGTTTATAATCTTTTGCTATCCTTACCTTGGTTAGCTCTTTAAACATTAGGCCTGGCGAGTTCTACTGATGGATGTGTAGATTTTGTTTCTGATGCATTTTGAGTTTTCTTCGAATATATTTTTAGATGGTCGGGTTATTTATGTTTGATTTTCCTGTTATAATCCATGGTGTGTATGCTTTGTTCTTAGCAATCAGATCCTGACCGAAGCAGGATTTGAAAGAACTAAACCATCTTATCACTTATGCTACTTACTCTTCATCTGGTAATCATACGAGAAACTAACTCCAGTTGTTGTAGGCACTGAGAGATTCAAGGAAATTGCCAGGGCTTCCACCCATTCAATCTTGGCTGCATGTGGCTTGGAACATTCAAAATCATGTGCCCGCCCATTTTCCAATCAAGTTTGTAGACATACCAGCCAAATAAAACAGCTCCATGAATCGACTCTCATGCCTGGTTCATGTAAAGAATGTTTCCATTCATTTGTGAAGTATGTTGTGAAGAGTATTTTGTTAGAAAAATCAACCTCGAGTTCCAGATGAGCAGCCACTTATATTCAAGTCAAGATTCTGCACTCCATTATCCATGTTTCAGTGTTATCTCCTTGCTGTAGCAAGTTGTCTAAAGAAAGGACTTGTCAAGGATGTTTCTTATAGCCATTTATTGCTCGGCGATTGCTCTGTAAGATTTGCTCATCTAATGGTCACTCGATGATCTCAGTTCCACATCTCTCTTAATAGGAGAGTCAATTAATTCTTTTCATGGCAAGTGAATCTTTGTTCATCTTCTTGATCCTGACTCCATTTACTTCCCTTGATATGAATAAACTTTCTTTCCCTGCAAGAAAGAAAATCATTTCCATTCTGCCTTCATGGCCATTCCGTCTTCACATTACTGTGAATATTGACAGAATTAGTTGAAGGGACCGCACATTTTATGGGAGTACCTTGAATAAGGTGGTATAGTGGCTTTGCTGGCAAGAGTAAGTGTGCAGGTCATTGGTTCTTAAATTTTTCAGACATTAGAGTAGATAAAAATGGTGCTGTGCTTTGTTCTTGTAGTATAGATTAAAACCTTCTTGTGATTTTTGTATTTTTATGAAATATAAGGGGACTTTTCTTATTTCTAGAGTTGAAAACTTTGTATAAACCTCTCTATATTTACTTGTGTGATTATTGTCAATGGTTTTAGAGCTTTATGAAATACAATTAATATTCATAAAACCTTATATATATATAAGAATTTCCAATTATGAAATCCTATACAAGAACAAAACGAAAATGTAAGGCCATCATAAGAATATATATATAAATCATGCTTAGATATCAAGATAAGAGTTACTAATTAACAGTGATAAATAATTAAATATCAACCTAATCAAAATTACAGTTAATAATCTTATAATATGTACATAATTAGCTTTATTATAAGTATAAATACAATTTAATATTAAAAAATATTCAAATATTTTTTTTATTCAAAATATTTAAACATGAATTAAGTGATTGACTTGGGTTTATTTAGACTCAAATCATATCATTTATGATGTCGATGAGTTGGACTCGTTGACTTTAAGTTTAATTATAAGCTTGTCGAAATTAAAGTTTGGATGATTTTGAATTTAAATTAAAAAATATTCAAGTCAGATATTATCTTAAGATTTGTGTTGATCAATTGCATTTTTGGGAGATACTATTTTGCCCCTTATTTCAGATATTGAATCTTTTGTCATACGAAAATATATCCAAAACCTTCGAAAAAGTTCATGACACAAAATTATAACTTTGAAACAACTAAGGCATGACTACTTGGGGTTGTGAACAAGATAAAATCTCGTTAATTATAATGTTAACTTTCTATAAAATTGATGTGTTTATTAAAGTAAAAATTGTTGCGTCCTGGAATATTCGCGGCGGTGGAGAAATATATGGTTTAATGTCTTAGTATTGTACGAAGATCCAGCACACAATCAGATAAGAGAGGGGGTGAAACATTCATAAGAGACAACAGAGTTTTTACGTGGAAAACCCCTGAAAAGGGGGAAAAACCACGAGGCCTGGCCCAGTTTGAATGAATTCACTAGTATTTGTAGTCGATTACAAATGAGGCCCTTCTTTTGGAGAAGGCCTTGTATTGATGTAGCAAATATACATCATATATATTGCATTACATGGTAGGAGTTACATATACATGTTTGTTTGGTCGGAAGGACCGTAGTCGGCAAGAGACCGGGGTTAGAAAGACCGTTGTTTGTTAATGGAGGTCGGAAGGACCATAGTAGGCGACGGAGGTCGGAAGGACTGTAGTCGGCAGGAGACCGGGGTCAGAAAGACCGTTGTCTATTGATGTAGGTCGGACGGACCATAGTAGGGGACGGAGGTCAGAAGGACTGTAGTCGGCAGGAGACCGGGGTTAGAAAGACCGTTGTCTATTGATGGATGTCGGACGGGCCATAGTAGGGGACGGAGGTCAGAAGGACCGTAGTCGGCAGGAGACCGAGATCAGAAAGACCGTTGTCTGTTGATGGAGGTCGGATGGACCATAGTAGGCGACGGAGGTCGGAAAGACCGTAGTTGGCAGTATTCTAGGAGAACTATGGGCATCAGGTGGTGGCCTGGTGGAGCTCAAGGCCTCAAGTAGTGGTCCGGCGGAAGTTTGGGCCTCATGTGATGTTCTGGTGGAGCACATGTCCTTTGATGATGATCTGGCGAATACAATGGCCTCTGGCAAAGGTGAGGGCCTCTGGTGAAGGTGAAGGCCGTTGGTAAAAGTGAGGGCCTTTGGCGAAGGTGAAGGCCGTTGATAAAAGTGAGGGCCTTTGGCGAGGGTGAAGGCCGTTGGTAAAAGTGAGGGCCTCTGGCGAAGGTTAGGGCCTCTGGCGAAGGTGAGGGTCTCAGATGAAGACGTCGGGCCTTGAGCAGCTGT